GAGGGGCTGTGACAAACTGTTTCGTCGGAGTTTCACCGACTCATCAGGAGGCTGAACCCTCAACAGTCTGTAGAATCCCCTATATATATATATATATATCAAAAAAAAAAAAAAAAGAGAGTCACCTTCGGCACTTGGCCAATACCCTGATCGAACTGTAGGTTGGAGCTTCCCATAGTTGGATCACCTAGTTGCCCGGGGGGTCCCTCCCTCTTGCTTGGCTCTATGCGCATTGTCTTTCATGGTTGCAAGGCTCAGTTGCAGCTTTGGTCTCAGCTGAATCAGGGTGTGAGGGAGTGCCAGTTGATCATGGGGGATTCACGGGTAATCAGGCGCCCAAGTTTTGGGCTGAAGAGGCTGCTCCATATCCCGCTACTGCGGTAAGCCTGCTCAGTCAATCCCCTGGGCTCCAAGGGCAATCAATGCTGGCAGGTTGCAGATGTATACACCTCAGACAAGCTCAGTCGTTGTCGATGGGAAGCAGGACCCGCTTTCCAGCAGCTGACACTCCCCACCAATAGATGGAGTCCCCCCCCCCGGGCCTATTGGTGTCTGCTCCCATCAGCACCCCTGGCACCCTCAAGGGATGTTTCTTTTTCTGGGGAAACTGTGGCTGTGACACACTTTTTGTTTAAAATAGGCAAGAAAAGACAAAGTGGCGCCTATGTCGTGGTGAGTTTTGAAATGTGCAACAGCACCTCTGGCACCCTCAAGGGATGTTTCTTTTTCTGGGGAAACTGTGGCTATGACACACTTTTTGTTTAAAATAGGCAAGAAAAGACAAAAAGTGGCGCCGATGTTGTGATGAGTTTTGAAATGTGCAAGTTTAGCGGGGGTCTAAAACTGCGCCAGTCATTACCTGCAGTGGCGCTTGGCAGATTTAGGGGGGTTGCCTATTTTCCTCCATTAAATTTCAGGAACTGCTAATGTTGCCTATTCTGAATGTTGGGTGCGACCCCAACATACGGGGCAAGTACGTTGGGGTCGCACCCAACGTTCAGAATAGGCAACATTAGCACAATTTAGCAGTTCCCGTAATTTAATGGAGGAAAAAAGGCAACCCCCCTAAATCTGCCAAGCGCCACTGCGGGCAACGACTGGCGCAGTTTTAGACCCCCGCTAAACTTGCACATTTCCAAACTCACACCACGACGTTGGCGCCACTTTGTCTTTGGTTGCCTTCAAACTAAAAGTGTACCATCCAGTGTTTTTTTTTTTTTTTTTTTTTTTTTKTTAARAAWKTSCCWMMRCCACAGTTTCCCATAAACCCGCTACCCAAGAGATAGACCACTGGATCCCCCGATCCGCATCAAGCAGAGTCTGCTATGTTCGTAGGGGAGGGGCCTGATGGGAGGCACGGGGGATTGGTCCACTTTATCCCTGGTGCTACCGGCCGTCCCCTGGCCGGTATCCTGCAGGCTCGAGGGGCCGTAAAAACACGGCTCTGGTATGCTACTGGTTTCCCCGTATGCCTATAGGTAGGAGTAGTGGTAGGTAGGTCATGTGAGGAAAAAACTGAGAGAAGAGTATAGTTAAAAAAAAAATAAAAAAATAAAATAATAATAATAATAATAATAAAGAATCCAAAAAACCTGAAAATTGAAGTAATGAATGCATGGCCATGGCCGTCTTCCATTTTCTGCACCGTGTAACCTTCTTTGCTTGTCTTACAGATTAGGGAGCACAGCCAAATGCTAAAGACAGGCACAGGCATCCATAGGTCCTCAAAATTTGAGATTCACAAAAGGTCTAAAAAATACACACACACACACACACACACACACACACACACACACACACACACACACACACACACACACACACACACACACACATGCGCACGCGCACACGCACACGCACACACATGCACATGCACACACACGCACATGCACGCACGCGCAAACCCACACGCGCACGCCCACGCCCACACACACGCACATGCACACGCACACGCACACACACACACACACACACAACACACACACACACACACACACACAATCAGTTTTAGGTATGTTCGTTTTTGATTCGAGTTTTCGACGGGCGGTGCAGCGCTACCGGGAGCGCTGCGCCCGCCCAGGCCGGAACAACGGGTGCACCAACGCACATTGAGACGAGAAGCTGCGATGGCGCTTTCACGAGGGCACGACGAGTTAGTATCTTGTGTGGCAATGGCGCTTCTTAGAGACTTCCGTGGATGCGGAAACAGGAGGGGCGTGTGGTTTGAGTAGCCGTGTAGGGGGGGGGAGGCACATGGCATAGGGTTATAACGCCACTTCTTCTGTCCTCTGTGTTTAATCTCTGTCTCTCGCTTCTCCGGTTCTTTTCTGTCATGGGTCGTTGGATCTGGACTGAATTCTCTGTGAAGCTGTGTTGACAGGCTTGACATGGTCATTCACAATGCAACCGCATTTGGGGAGTAAAAGGGAGGCGGGGGCGTCCCAATAATCTCTTCTGGTTGGTGCACTTTGCCGTAAGGCTATACTAGCACCGGCTGTGGGGAGGAGGAGTGGCTCCTTCTATAGGAAGAGGCAGGGGTTGAGTTTGGTCTGGGCAGCGGTCGGGCAGCTGGATAAGGGGACTGCGAGAGCGGAGTGGTGCGTGATGGTCTACAGGGGTTGGTGATTTCAGGTAAAGGTCAAGGCGGCATCACGTAGCGTCGGAAGCTCTGAGTGCAGTATTTTTCAGAATTTAACCCTAAGGTATTACTCCGTTAGAGGATTTGATGGTTAGGGATGTCTCATTGCTGTCAGAAAAAACTAAAAAAAAAGATCTCCAATGCACTTTTAAGGGTTGAAGGGGTTAACCAGGGCTGAATGGGGGTCCCTGTTAACCGCTTGTGGAGCAACCCGGTCGGATGCTAGGTGTGCTGATATGAGCAGACACATCTAGCACCGCCGGGGAGGCTCCATCTATTGGTGGGGAGCAGCATCTGCTGGAAAACGGGTCCAGCGTCCCTTGGATACATCATTGTAATGCAATGTTTGTTGGGCATATGGCCCCATCTAAGTTCATGCTCCAGAGCATCCTTCTCTCCCTCGGGGCTGCATATGTCACCCTTCCAATTTGCAGAGTTCCTACTTCCTGCTGGCCTAGCCCGACCTGGGATGGTGTCCGCCTTGTTTTTATGTGTACTCTTCTCAGGTTCTAATGGCTGAACACCTATCCCTGGTGTCTGCAACCCCCCCTATTCTTGTTTCCCCATACCTGATCTATTATGTCCCTTGACCCCTTAGACCCTACACCCTCCACCCACTTCAATCTCCCACCCCCGTCGTTCATAATCCTTGGAGGCAGAGGCTCAGGCCCCAGAGCCGGCGTTCCAATGGCTGAAATGTTTGTCTGCCTGTCAGCACAGGATGGGCGACAATGAGATGATGTCATATAAAACGCAATTTGTAAGCCAGCATCCTGACAAAAGCCCAGCATGTGTGGAAGTTGTATAACAGAGATGACTGGGGACATGCCGATCAGAGCCTGGTAATGCCTACTCCGGCTTTAGGAAGATTATCCAGTATCGAATGCAGCTGTTCGACCAGCGGGGCTCTCATCACGTCATGGGCCGAATACAGTTGTCCGCTGTTGTAGCCTAGCAGTCCAGTCGATCCTCATTTCTCACCATCGCCACCTGGTTCAGCTGTATGTATTTTATGGTAAGTTGCCGCCGCTGCAATGCACAGGCCTCCACCCGCACTCTTTCTCCCCCGGACCGTGACCCGGGTCGGTGTGCCTCCTTTCCCCTCTCCCCTTGTCCCCTCTTTTCTCCCCGCCGCTGGTCATCCATCGGTGTTGCTGTGGTCCTCGTCTCTTTCGTTGTCGCCCCACTTTCAATCCTTTAAACTCTTTAAACCCTAGACCTCCGTCTGACTTTTCAGTCGCCCGTTCCCTCCCCGTCCTTCCATTCCCAGGTCCTCCATTTAAACCCTAAACCCCAGTCTGACTTTTCACTCTCCTGTTCCCACCCGCCCTTCCATTCCCAGACCCACCATCCTCCCTGTGGTTTTGTAATCACTCCTGTCAAACCCCCAAGACACTTTCCAGGACGACGGCCCCGTCTTCAGTCGTAGACTTGCTGTGCGCAGAGAGCGGTAGTCTGGTTTGCCCCTCGTCTCTTCCACCACGGGCAGCCGGGATGCCGAGAGACAGGGGGGGAGGGGAAAGGGTAAAAGGGTGAGTGAAAAGGGGCAGGGGGGGTATTGGACGAGGACAAAGGACGGGGGGATGGAGGCAAATGGGACCGGGAACTCAGCGAGGGACCTAAAGGGCCAGTTTTTTTCATCCAGTCTCCAGTGTTTCCATTTAATTTGTGAGTCCTCTATGTCAGCCAAGGTTTTCCGGGGCCCCAGCCAATGTTCCGAGAATCGGGTCGTGGCTTCCTCCGCTTTCTGTTTCTTTGATGATGTTGACAAGAGCGGCTCCTGTTCAATCAATTTTATTGCGGCTCTGAGTTTGTCCCACGCTGCTTTGGTTGTAATATGGAGATTGTCCGCCATGTGCTCCCTGGCCTGGATATAAACCAAATGTATTCGTGTGTCTTTCAAATGCACAGCGTGCTCTCATGAGGAGCTCAAACCTGGTTATTTGGAACATATTGGACTCATGTGGGGTCCACTGGGGGGGGGCGCCTGCATGTTTTCCAAGGAGGAGCAGTGGCAAGTCTCACGGGTACGGGGAGCCCGTCAGGGTCGGCCAAGCTGCGTCCCACCATCTCCAGATTTGGGCAGCCATCAGGCAGGCCAGAAGATAATGTTCCAATGTGGCTCTCATGGGTTGGGTGGATCTGCCACAATATGTGCAGATCGGAGAGAGACATCCTCTCTGCTCCAGCTGTGTTCTTGAAACTATCCAGTCTGGAATAGGGAGGCATCGGTACAGGATTTGCCATTGAAGAGCTCTATGCGATGTGGGCATTATATCTGAGTATGGCCCCCACATGAGTTGACACCAGTCTATGCCGGGGAGTACCGAGTCTCTCTCCCATCTGTTTTGGATTATTCGAGCCACCGGGTGATTTGTGTGCAATATGCTATACCCCTGTTTGACTGTGTATTGGCACAGTTTTTGTGGTTTTCGTTCCCCCATCTGTGGCCATTCCCAGTCAGCAGGGTCGAAAGGGAGAGCGCAGATGGGGGTGGCCGGTTCAAACGCGTGGTGTGTGTGATCAGCACCCTCGATGACTCTGATTCTCACTAGGTCGGACCAACTGGCTGTTGTATCTTCCTCCTTGAACCTGAGCAGTCTTGCGCATTTGGCTTGTTGGTCGATTACCCGGTAAGCTTCGAGGGAGACATCGCTGTCCCTCTTGTCGACCACTTTCCACACAATTTTTCGGGTGTGGAGGGAGTTGTATAACTTTTGCCATAGATCGATTTTCTAAATT